AAAATCTTCTGCCCCCTCTTCTGCAATGATCCCTGAGGCCTGCATTGCAAAGATTTGAGATAGGTGTCCCATTCAGAGTCAAGCTTGACCTAATGTTGTGTACTACTGTTCTGTTTGTCCTCTTTTGCCCCATTAACACCAAGTTTTTCAAATGCAGGGCAATTATTTTACTATTTGGAAGTAAAACACCGTATCCAGTGTGAAAAAATGAAATGATCTGTATTAGTTATTAATAAAATTGAAGAAAAAATAATCTCATAAAAGACAGATGACTAGTCTGATAGTATAAGTATAGTTTAATGGAATATAGGACTTGAAGGAAATGTAGAGATTATCTTGTGTCCAACACAGTACATTCATTCGTAAATTGCAATACCTCAACACTACTCAAATTGCAGAGACCTAGATTGTCAAATGTGTTCTGGTGAATGATAACTTGGAATCTACTGCAGAATTTCCCTCTTTCTCACTTTCTCTCTCTCTCTCTTTCTCTCTCTCTCTCTCTCTCTCTCTCTCCCTACACACACACACACACACACACACACACACACACACCAGGGCACGGGAGGTCTATACAAATTACATATAGTATCCAGGTATGCCAGTTCCAAAAGGAATGGAATAGCAAGATCTCAATTTCCTTGGGGCCACAGGCATTTTGAACATCCTAGAATGGCCTCAGGCTTAACAGAAAGCCAGGGCTTTAAGAAAGATCCCAACTGAACAAAAAAATGCAATCGTGAGAAATTTTGAAAAGGGGAGCCAGCAGTTTGTGAATGCCCTGGGATAGGAAGAGATTCACCTTTTGGTCTGTGATCTTTCCATGGCCAACAGTGGCTCAAATAACTCCCCATTCTATTTTGAATCCATCTCTTCTCTCATGCATTTTTCCATCTTTAACATTTTGTTATTAGATATTAACTCGTGTCACCATTGTTGACCTTCCCCTTGCTAACATTTATATACACAAAAATTATCTTATATATAAGTGAATCATTTCCATGCTGAAACATAGGTACAGTGAGATCACTCTGCCCTTTAATAGTTGAGCAAATTGAATTATACTTCCTGCCACGGATTTTGGAATGTCGTATGAAGCCCCCCCCCAATATTGGTGAAAATTGACCTCCGTAAGATTTATGGAAACTTTTCCAAAAATATATATTCTGTTGTTACATCCATTTATGACAATAGGAAAGGTATCATCCCACCTGCAGCAGGTGAGTTTACACATTTTTGTCACCGTGCAGTGCTATGCATCTACCATAGCATGTAGAGCCAGATAAATAATCTAGACTATTTCCTTAATAGCTTCAGACTTTACTGAAGGATAATTTCAGTATTTTCCAAGCAATAAGTCATCAAGTGAGAATGACCATTAACACCTTTGTTAAACGAAAGGGATCTCAGACACTTGCTTCCCATTCTTCACTGGGAAAGAGAAAGACACTAAGGGTAAGGAGTGGGAATCTTCTTTATCCTACCTATATGATCAGAATATTAACTTTTTTTTTCTTTTTGAGACAGGGTCTCCCCGCAGCTCCAGCTGGCCTGGAACTCGCTGTGTAGACCACGTTGGCTTTGAACTCACAAAGATCTGCCTGCCTCTGCCTCCCAAGTGCTGGGACAGAATATTAACTTTTGAACTGTCACGAATGTCACATACAGATTCCCTCCATTTGAACTCATCCTTTCATTTAATACATGGCATTTTGCAACATCATTTTCATGTATTCTAATTAATCAGTATATTTCTTTAAAGATTTTTTCCTTTGATATACTTACCAAAATGTGATCCTTTTCATATACACACATATGCATTTTCCTAGCATTTTAATTGAATTATTTGAATTTTTAAAACATTTGCAAAAATTTTCACGATTCGGTTTTGGAATATGATGTAATTAAGATGATTAGGTATCGAGGGGATGTGGGGAAAGGGGAACACTCATCCACTACTGGTGGGGCTGCAAACTGGTTCAGCCCTTATGGAAAGCAGTGTGGAGAACTCTTAAAAAACTACAAATGAACCTACCTTT